TTCTATATCCATGACTTCTACATTTTCTATACTCTTATATTTGTCATTTGTTGATACTTCTGGGTCTTCTTTTTGCTTTCTTTCTTTTTCTGATTTTACTTCATTATTCTTTATTAAAACTTCTTCTTCATATTCAATATTATTGAGAGCTTAACTTGTTTGGTATTGTGATATAGTGATACTTAGTTCTTTCATCTGTTCTTCCAATATTTCTACTTCTTGTTCTATATTTTTGCGATTATTTTTTTTTTTTGCCATTGTTTTCTATTAATTATATCATTTGTTTTGTTAGTTTCAACTGAAATTCTTACCTTATCAGTACTTTTTTCTTCTTAATATAGTTTTCCTTTACTTATACTTGTGTCATGTTCAAATGCATCTGGGTTGTAGCTTATGGCCCTAAGTTTTTTTGTCCACTTGTCGATTACTCCTTCTTTAAGCCAACTTACTTCTGCTAATCTTAAGGTTTCCAATACCTGACCATATATTAGCAAGTCATGTGGTGTAATATGTTTCAGGTCATAAATTGCTAGGTCTTTTGCAATGCACTTTATATTGCTTGGTTCTTTTTTTGGTGTCCTAAGAACTTGGTCAAAGAGTTTGCAATCTACATATCTATGATTTCTATTTTCTATTTCTCCAATATAATCTATAACATCTACATTATATACATTAACTATTGGTCTATATTTACTACTATGGTTTGGGTTCTTCTTTTGTATACTCTGTATATATTTTGCTATACTATTTGGTATATGTGTTCTCCTATTTGCTTTGTTTGTTTTATTTCATGTTTGTGTAATCTAAGTGATCTGCACAACAAGGTCACAGCTATTCTCAAATTTTTCTAAAAACTAAACTTTTTGTTAAAACTTTTGCTTTTCGTTTCTATACTATATTGCCAAAAAACTCTAGTTTCTGTTTTTGTCTTTGGTTATATATGGTTTTTGCTGCTCTATCTTTTTTGTTATAAGTCAAGGTATTGTTTTTTAGTGCGTTTTTGTATTGTTTCTTATTTTGCTTCTTGATGATTTTGGTCAAGAGATCTGTGATTTTTTATTTTAATATTATTTATTTATTTATTTATTTTTGTTTTTTTATCTTTTGGTTTAATTCACATCAAAATTATTACACAAATTATGTGATTCAGAATTATGTAATGTATTATTAATAATTACAAATTATATTATTTAATTTGAATTTTTATTTTATATAGATAAATTATAACATATATTTTTATATATAATTTTTTTATTATATATAAATTTTTTTTATTAGTATAATAACAGAATTTTTGAAATATTAAGAGTGGGTACATGAATGGGATAACTGTTTCTACAGATGGGTTGGCAGAGTAGCTGTTTTTACAGATAAGTAGATAAGATAATTGTTTTTACAAGTAGATGAATAGATAACTGTTTCTATAAATAGGCAAGATAACTGTTTCTACAGATAGGCAAGGTAACTGTTTCTATAAGTAGACAAGATAACTGTTTTTATAAATAGGCAAGATAACTGTTTTTACAGACAGATGGGCAGAGTAATTATTTTTAAACTATTATATTATATATTAACAGAGATCCTGAATATGTTTTGCTTATATAATTATATTTGAAATCTTTGTTAAAAAATATATAATAAAAAAAAAGTGTAACTAATAATCACATTTTAGTAGAAGACAACAATAACATTGTTGTCGATAAAAAGAGTTTATATAAAAATATTATTATTAAATTAGAATAAAGTAAATTAAAGTAGTTTATTAAAATTTTAAAACTATTTAAAAAGACAACAACTATTTTGTTATTTTTAAAATATTCAATATTATTATTAACTGATTTTTTTTATTATAAATTGGTTAATATACTTAAAAAACTAAGCAAAAAAAAAATATATCACAATAACTTATTCTAGAATATAAAATAGTAATGAAAAAACTCTTAAATTATTGTAATACAACAAGTATATTACATTTTATAGTAATTGTTTTAGATCTATAGCTTAAATTTTTATACTTTAAAGAACTTGTATAAATATTACAAATAATCTTTCAGATTAAAAATATATATGTATATTTTTTATATATATAATAATAAAAGAATTTATATATAACTGCTTAAAAAAATGAAAATAATATTAAATTTTAATTTTTAATTATATATATAATTATTTTTGCTTTGGACTTTTATATGTAATTGTTTTTAAAATATATTCATTTTTATAAATATAATTTTTAGCATCAAAAATAAAATATAAAAATAATTACATATCTTTATTAAATCAAAAAACTGTTTATTTAACTATTAATTCATCTTTAATAAATATTATTAACAAAATTTATAAAAGAGCTTATATTAAATATTAAAGTACTATAAATTAAATACTTATTTGATGACACTACTTGCAAATTTGAATAAAAAAATTCTGAAATAATAGTATAAAAATAATATGTTTCCCAAATCTTACAAAGCTTGCTAGAGATTGTTTACTAGTACCAGCCACAAGTGTTTTAAGCAAGCAAATGTTTAGCATTTGTGAAGATATAATTACTAAAAAATAAACCATATTGACTGATAAAACAGTAAGGATGGCAATATGTTTAAGATCATGATAAAAAACATTTGCAGATCATGCATAAATTTAGATGCTTATAAAACTAGATATTTTTACTGTTAATGTATTTTTGAATTTATAAAATAAAATTAAAAACATTGATAAAATTTTTAATGAATATAATTTTAAAAATATTGCTATTTAGAACTTTACATTTTATGCAATTCAATATTACAAATTAGAGATTAGAAAATTTTTTATTAGCACTTTTCTGATAAATGAAATTTAAACCGGGTACAAGTGTTTTGTATTATCTAAAAATTAATTATTATAGTTTTGCTTAATATTCTATGAAATAATATATATATATTTAGATTGATTATTACCGGGTTAGACTCTGATTCGTTAATACAGTCGAATCTAATCATGGACCCGACTTTTGTATTTCGGTTCGGGTACGGGTCCAATTAAAAACCCGTCGAATCTGGCTTTTGCGAAACACTATATATTACACTTCTTATACTAACCTTAACCTTAATCCCAACCCTAACGCTGGTCAAAATTTCACATAATAATATAACCGAATTTTTACTATTGGCACGTGATTTTTATCACTTGCAGAAATAAGTATTTCACGGGTGTTTGCGTTATTGAACACAACATAATAATGGTTGTATTCGCAAATTTTTTATTACGAAAATCAAAAAAAATATATACGTATTAGTTGAATTGTTGCTATAACTTGCGTGTTATTCGAAACGATCCTGGGCGTTATTTAAAACTAAACTAAACTATTTTTATGAAGTTAAAATATTCAAAATAACGCCTATCAGTTATTTGGATGATTTACAAAGAAACAATAGTTATTTCTAGTATTATTTCGGCGCAATTGCACTTTACTAGCATTAGAAACACTATTGCGCCTTATTGGAAATCTGATTCTGAGCGCCGAAGGAGTGGTTTTTTTTTCATTTTTAAAAACAGTTACAATCATAATGATCATCAGGAGTTTCAAACATTTTATCATTCTTTCGTCTGAAATGCAAGCAAATTTGCCTAGAAAAACATGTTTGCATGTGGAAATTTGTAGATAAAGGTAATTTGACCTCTAAAGAGTGCTAATATTGTAGGTCAGTCATTGGACATCGTTCAGTCGTTATAAGCTTAACATTAAATAGGAATGTATACAAATGCTGAAAACACCGAATTCCGACATGTAATTAATGACTATTTTTACATGTTCCAAAGAAGTTTACCCAGTATATTAAAGATAAACTTAATCGATACCATTCAGAATGCACGAATTCAACTGTAATATTGGTCCATTTATGTTGAAGATGTTTTGTGTTACGGAGACCATCTAATCTAAACTTGGCGAACATGCTATGCAGTTGTCATCTTGGCAACTAACAGTTACATTTTTATAAAGTAAAGAGGCTTTCTCAAAGTTTTAATTACGTAAAGAGCGTGGGTATTTTTTATGTCTCTTGTCATTCATTCATCGATGAATAATGAGAATTTGTTTCTTTCAACACGCACAAGATGTATTTCTTTATTGGCAGGTGCATAATTCAGTTAGGAGGTGCGCATGTGGCTACTATAGTTAGTAAAAACAAATCATGATAATGTGAACATTTCTATTGTCGGAACGGATTTTAGCGAGACCAATTACCGGTTGAGAATTTTTGGCTGGACCCTGCATAAATTGACAAATCAATCAGATGCTTATCACTTTTTGTTATTGGCATTTAAGATAAATTCGGAAAATTTTCCCACAGTGCATTGGGGTAACCGACATGATTGCATGATATGTCTATGTAATCTCACTCGAAAAAAAGACCAACATCTAGGATCATCTATCAAAAAGTTGTTGTAGATGACTAATAATTATTGATTAAAAAAAAAAAAAAAAATTTCAACCATTAAGAATTTAGAGATTCCTCGCATTATCGATCAATTGGCAAATTCAATTCCAAATGATATAGTGATAAATTAGATAATTTCCTTTGTCTTTTTCTGAACCATTTAGGCAAAATGGTTACCTATCAGTAGAAACATTTGGAAATAATGCAATGTAACTACATTTCTTTCCGCATTTAATCCGGTCATATACTTTTGTCATGTCGTATCAACATGTGAAAAAAAACCTGGATGTTATTATATAAATAACCTCCGTTAACCGTTTTTCTCGTTTTCTAAATAGATATAGACATATATCTTGAAAACTTCAATACTTAGATTTCTGAAACTTTCAATTTTTTAAAAAATCTTTTCAAAAAAAAGAATTCTTTTTTTTTTAGGGAGTTCTTTTTTTTTTTAAACAAAAAAAATCTTTTTCTATAAATTTAAATCTTTTTTTTTTTTTTTAATTTGTGTTTATTTATCTATTTGATAATATAAACAAGAAATATCGATTGAGTAGCTACCTATTCGTCGAACACAACAAAATGAACCAAATTTTGAGCAAAAGTCAACCTATCGAAATTACCAACGAAAAAATTCAACCTGAAAAACCTACGGTATTTTCAAATCTCGCCAACATTTCAACCGCGTTCACCGACTCTATACTACTATTCCTCGGTTTACGGCCTTCCGAAAATGATGATCGCACGACACCACCAACATCGTCAATTATGATGCGTTATGGCCTGAATCCACAGGAGATGGCCTACGTTCAGTTTAAAAGCTCTCGCCTGAAAGGTTTTAACGGCGTATTGACATTTTTTCAACAACCAAATGGTTCAACTGTTGTTTACGGACAGTGGAGTGGCTTAAAGGATCTGGACCCAATGAATTATGAATTTGTAATTTATAAAAATGGGGTAATGCAGCGTGACATGACTATCAATATACGTCGAGATATCGAAGTTGAAGGTAGTTCGGCCTTCTTGTTAACCACTTTTGGATCTCTACCACTTTCTGGAATCGATAAAATAATTGGCGGCCACCTACATATTTTAAATTGTGGGAAGGTTATTGCAAAATCAGAAATTTGTAAAATTTGATAAACATTACCCGGCTTTTTTTTTTCTTAAAGAAAAAAAGGACAATTATTTTATTTTTTTCTCTTTTGGTTGGGATTTAATAGATTGTATAATATATTATAGATTTTATTTACAAACCCTTTTTTTTTACCTTTAAATTATGAATTTGACGATAGAAAAAAATATAAGATTTTCCTCTTCGACTTTCGCATTAAAGGCTCTTAACTAGATGATTAATCCTTTTTTGCAATGTCTAAATTTTATTTTACCACACTTTATACTAAAAAAAAGTTTTTTCTAACATAAACCTCCTATTTTATTATTATAACTAAAAAGTAAAGCTTTACTACCATACAGAAAAAAAATATAGATATATGTAAATATTCCCAAAAAGAAAAATGGCAAAGACCACTCAAACTTATAGATAATTATTACTCACCTACCTAACTATACATAAATCAAGATGTTTGGTTCTAACTTGCCTCTGCTTTGAAATCCGAAATTCTAATCTATATATACATGCTACTATTTAACATTTTATTTATATATATGGCTTTTCCTTTGTGTATATATGACTTTGTAAATTATTAAATTTCTTGCTTTTATATGTACATATAAAATAATAAGACAAACAAATAAAAAGAAAAAATATTAATATTTTTTTTACCAATTAAACATTGAGTAAATTTCGTTTACTAAATTTAATCACCTCTTAAATCTGTATTATCGTATCTTTTTTTTTTTATCTGTCGCAAATTTCTGGGCTAATACCGACAATAATTCAAAAATATCTAATTGGATTTGGTTCACTATCAGGAACATGAAAATTTTTCAGATCAGGTGTTCCATGCTAATTAATTAACGAAGACCCTTCTATTAAATCGAAGTTTTTTTAAAAAAAATAAACAGCTGCCATATTAAAGTTAGATTTGGGTAATATGATAATTAAGGATTTATACTTCAAACTTTTTCAAGGAATTTTCTTTGTAGACAGCATTTTGGTTAAACCGTTTTCTTTTTTTTTTAAAAAAAAAAATCAAATTTTCACATTACGCACGTCAACAACGACCCGTTGGTCAACTAATTAAATCAAACCTATATGTTGACCCATAATTAAACAATTTGGCCAATTTTTTAATGCGAATGCATTATTACACAAATGAATTTAAGTTTTCAATAAGAATTTATTATACGAAAGTGATGGATTTTTGAAATCTAAATCCTCTCGCGGTATTAATTCTTTGAACTTAAGAATAACATAAAACATATTAATAGATTTTTCTTTTTGCATTTAAAATTTCAAAATTTTATAAATTTTAATATCTTATGAAGATTTATATAATCTAAAGTTTATAAATGTTAAAATTTTAAATGCAAAAAGGAAAATCCTCACGATAAATTAAAAAGTTTGCTCTTTTAATCTGTTTTATGTTATTCTTAAGTTCAAAGAATTAATACCGTGAGAGGATTTGGATTTCAAAATCCATCACTTTCGTATAATAAATTCTTATTGAAAAGTGATATAACAATACATTCGTATTAAACATTGGCCTAATTGTTTAACTATGGGTCTACATATAGGTTTGGTTTAATTGGTTGACCAACCACCCCAACGACCAGAGCCAGTGGATTTTAATAGTAGCAAAAATAGCACCAGCGATATCACGACAACCACATAACCAAATCTGATCAAAATTGGTTTATTTAAATTCTATAGATTTGTAGAATTAAAATAAAACAATTTCGGTCAGATTTGGTTATGTGGTTGTCGTGATATCGCTAGTGCTATTTTTGCTACTATTAATATCCACTGACCCTGCCAACGACCCGCAAAAAATGTAGGGATGTTAATCTCATAGGCAGAAGTTTGTCTGATTGGCTAATAAATTCAATTTAATTTTACAGTTTAGAGTACTTTTTTTTAAAAAAAACAAAAACAATTCATACCGATTCCAAAACGACATGTTGGATTCGTAAATTAGCGATATTACCCAAACTATTTGGGACATCCCAAACTATGTGATGAATAATATCGCATGAGGTATTTACCTCCTTACTGTTATTGCCAAAATCACGTGATGGGACGTCCCAAATCAGTGTTGGCAATAGATGAATAGAACAATAGAACAATAAAATAGAGCAATAGAATTTAGAATAGAATAAAAATTTTGTCAATAGAACAAAAAAATTGCCAATAAGATTATAATTGAACATTTTTAATATAACAATAAATAAATAGAACAATAGAACAATAGAATAGAGCATAGAAATTAGAATAGAATACGTAATAGAACAAGAATTGAGTTTGGGTAACATCGCTATCGTAAATGACTCCGAATAGACAGGAATCAATAAACGACACATAACAGAGATAATTAATGATAATTTCATTATAAAATCAACAATAATAAAACTATCAAATACTGAAATTGACTCAACATGACATTTAAATTTTTTGTATAACAATATGATTGTATTCTGATAAAATTAGAAATTCCAATCCTCTGCGCCCTATATATTGGTTACACCCTATATACCACAGATTCTTAAAAAAATTTTCATTGGTGATTACATTATCATTGAGGAAATTAAATTCCAAAGCGCAGCAAAAAACAAAACTGACAGTTGATACGATTACTGTATATAAAAAGGAAAAATATCCGTTTCAAATTAATTACAACCAACAAAATTTTATTTACTGTATATACTATAAATTTCTAGAATTAATATTTATAATTTTTTATTATGATTAACGAAGAAATTGAAGTTTTACAAACAATTTACGCTCACGATTTCACAATTTCAAATACGAATCCCAGATGGTATGGAGTAATGGTTGCTACTGGTAATTCATTTCAACATGAAAATGCCGAAGTTATAGAACAATATGTTCATCTATTATTTCACAAACCATCCGAATATCCTTCTGTTCCTGTTAAAGTTCATATTGCTACCCCTGTGTTAAAAACGAATATAAAAGCTTCAAATTCTTCAAATGTAAACGATGGTAACATTAAAGAAGAATTAGAAATTATATTGAATTTAAAAGCACAAGAGATGGCAAATAATGAGGAATTTGCGATGTATGAAATTGCAGAATTAGCAAGAAATTGGTTATGGGATAATCAACGACTTTCAGATACTTCTAATGTAAATCATGATTGGTGGGTAGGAGAATTGCCAGACAGAATATTTAATTGGCAAACAAATTCATATTCTCCTTCAAAAATCACAGAACTTCAATTTCGTGTGGAGTTTCAAGTTATTGAAAGTATACAAGAAAGTTGTGGTATCGAAGTTGACATTGCAAAAGTTAGATCCTTTTTAATGATGAACCTTTGGAATGTTGAAAAGACGATTGAGGCCATTACAAAGAACATAAATGAAAAGAATTACGATGCAAATATTAGCATTATACATGTAGACGCTGATGAAGTTGATGAGAAAAGTTGTAACATTTGTTTTGACACTTTTTTGTCCTGTGAAATGATAACTTTTGTTATATGTAATCACAGTGTATGCAATGAATGTTTAATTCAATATCTTTCATTAAAGATATCAGAAAATCAGGTGTTCACGATTGGATGTCCTGGTGCTATTAATTGCCCATATTTTGTTGACCCTATAACAATTGGGCGATTATTATCACCGAAATTAGTTTGTAAATATTATTCTTGTCTTCGTGAGTCCTTTACTCAACTTCAACACCATACAGGTATCACAAAAAAATCTACAACAGTCTCCCAATCAGCAAAAAAATTTTCCTGGTGCATAAATCCTAAATGCGATCATTCTTTATCTCAACAAAATGCAGATAGTATTGAAACGCCAACAATATTACATTGCAATGGCTGCACTTCAACTTGGTGTTCCTCATGCGATGTTATAGGTGGACATTGGCCATCATCTTGTAAAGATTATGAAACTTACCTTCTTACAAATCATACCATAAAACTTCTTAAAATAATCAAATCTCAACTTTTGGATATCACGACAAAGCCATGTCCAAATTGCAAAATTTTGATCACCAAGAATGGAGGATGCATGCATATGACATGTAAATTCTGTCAGCACCAATTTTGCTGGGGTTGTTTGGTTGACTGGAGATTGAGGGATCATAGTAATCTTTATGAATGTGATCAACAATCTAGCGAAGGAGTTGAAACATCATTTGGAGTATTTGATGAAAACGATATGCAATTTTTACCTGGGGCATTTCAGAGAAAATTCAAACAAGGTGTAATTATACATTCGCAAGCGATAAGAAAAGAACAAATGGATTTTGATATTTTGGTTAAACAATATAAAGACGGATCAAATACAAAAAACATTAGAAATTTGAAGATTTATGTAACTAAATTATTAATACAAGTTAATTATGTTATGAAATTTACGTCAGTAGGACTTTTTTCTAAATCAGATAAAGACAAAAATGAAGTTAAAAAAGGTATTGAAATGTTACAAAGACTTGAATTTGGATTGAGAAGTTTGGAAAATATTAGGGAACAAATTATTGAAATTGAAAAAGATAATTTTGGAAAAGGTAAAAGCAATATATTTAGTATGGTAGATGAAGAGAAAAGATTTAAAAGCTTGGAGTGTGAGATTGAACTGTGTAAAGAAAGATTAGAAAATAATATAAAGAATTTTGTAAAATTACTCAATTCTTATGATAAATTAACAAATATATAATAAGAGTTTGCCATTAATATGCGAATTTTCCCAAGTTATGTTAGGGTTAGGGGGTAGAGTCTATGTTAGTGTAAGGATAGTTACTAGTGCATTATAATTGCTTTTTGAGGTAATAGCTATCGGTGAAATAATCATGATAAAATATAATTGTCGGGAAAATGGTATTGTCGGGTAAATATTTTGTCTGGAAAATGGTTTCGGAAAAATTATACTGTCGGCATAATACTGTCGGGAAAACGAACCGGGATTCGAAAAATCATGCGATATTCATGATTAGATCATGATAATGACATTTATTAAAATATTAACATAATTGATTTATTAAGTGATTTTTTTCTTCGATTCTTTAAAGTGAAAAGCGGTCGTTAAAAGCATAAAATCCAATAAACATACTATTCTAAAGTATATGTTGATGCTGTAACCAAATTTCCATTAACAATAAATGAAAAAAGAATGAAAATCGAAATAAAATTATAAAAACTAAGAAAATGCAATTGAACCAGAAAATCTTGTAGATTTCATTTTTAATGCTCTTCCAGAAGATTATAACTCTGATTATTTATTTGAATCCAGGACGCAGCAACAAACATTAGTGAAGAAAACAAGTAGTAAAAAATGGCTCGATAGTATTAATAAAAACTTTGTGCCATTGCATTAATTGGAGGATTATAATCATTTTAAAAGGTAATGAAATATTCCAAATACTTAGAAAAACAGTAATTATAATACCTTCTGGTTATAATAAATATTACGTTTATTAAGTTATTTGAAATAAATAAAATGATTAATTTATTATTTATCGTTATTACTTTGTTAGTCTAAATTCTTTATTTAAATTCAACAAGAAACTAACTCGTTTTTTGTTGAATAAAAAAAGAACTTTATCAACGCTGAAGATCAGGATCTCGTGTAACAAAACAAATGCGAAAAACATAAGAAATTGTAAAACAACGTAAATAACGCAAAAATTTACTATGATGACTAACTTCTGACCTCTAAGTAAAAGTTTTCAGAATGAAATTTTACTTATAAAACACGATTGTTAATGTTAAATCTATAGATTATTTTTGATATACTGCGGCCCATATCTTTTTGGCCGGCAGCTCAGGATTTTCTTGGCATAAGGAAATTCACCCTTAACATGTGACAGAATAAATTCCGCGTAGCTGTAAATACAATACATGAAAGGATGTTCACAGCAAAGTGCCAGGAAAGAAATAACACAACGATGGAATTTTTTGAACGATCCGAAGAATGGAGTCTCTTGAATTTTCTAAAGTACCTTGACTCAGTGGAGAGCTTAAGCGACTGTTCTGAAGTACATCATAAGTATAAACTTCTTTTGACTAGTATTAAGGGTATTAAGGATGATAAAGAAGTGTCAAAAGAAAAAAGGCCGAACAAGCACTGTTAGTTTACGAATCAGCAGTTAAGTAGTTTTGTATTCAATATTATCGTTACTATTGTTTGGAGGAAGGAGTGTCGGTTGAGGCTGAAGAACCCTACCATCGAGGTGGTAGGTACTCATGCTAGGTTGAGGCTGAAAAACTTTCATCGAGGTGAAAGGTGCACCTCCAGACTAATCTTAACACTTAAAAATAAGTACTAGACAACTTCAGTAAAATTCAACAAATAATTATCTTTTTTGCTTTTAGAATGAATTCCATTCTTTCGAGATCAAAGAATTTTGGCAAGAAAGAAATCTTCGAATTGTTCTTAAGGAAAAAACTGTGAAAAGTACTGAAACCAAATTAATACAGTAGTGAGTGATGTTTTAGTTCTTGGTAAGATGGACAATCTAAGGAGACTACGATCAGGTATGTTTATTATCAGATTTGAAGCACCTCGTTATGTATAATGCTATTGTGTTTATTTTTCTTTGTTGGCTTGGTTGATTTTGTTTAATGTACGTTAAGAAATTGAGGCTAATAACAAAGAAGATGATTGCTCAAACAAACGTAGACATGGAATGAAAAAGGTATATATTAAATTTAGTAGCTTGAAAATAATGATCGAATTTATTGTTTTTTATAATTAGAATGAAACTGAACAGCCACATACTCCAGAAGAGAATATAATTTATTTTCATCATATTTTTAATGTACAGCCAACAAAATATCTTCTCATCACGAATATATTGGTTTTATGATCGTTTTTAGGAAGAACCTTCAACCATGGTGCTGAGAGAACAAAAAAGGGTTTGCTATGCTGAGAACTCAACAGAAATAGATTTGCTGAAATCATATTACGAAGAATTTAAGATAGATATTGAAAGTTTTTATGCTTATATACTCATAATTCTAATATTATTATGCTATTTTTGAAATTTATCAAGGATAAAAATAAATATATAGCAAAACAATATATCTGTAAAGTTTGTGATTCTCGCGAAGGTACACCATGTACCACAACACATGAAGTTACAAACCCAATCATCGTGACTTCAAACAAGTCTGTTATAACGAATGTATTATACAATCAATACTTTATGCAGATGATTTGTGCTTTTGGGTTAACATTACATCTTGTCAAAGAAACAATTGACAAGCAATTATATGAAGAAATTGAAAAAATTATTAAAATGTGAAATAAATCAGTCCTAAATAATTTAATAGTTAAAAAACTTAAAGTAATTTTACAGTCAGATTATTCAACAATTGTATTCAAGATAATAGCAGAGACAGAAGTTGAAGACAATGAAATAACAGAAGATACGAGATTCCTTTGTTTCATTAGAAATACTCTATTAGACTTTACTGCAACATTCAAGTTTTTGACACCGAAGGTTATAAATAGGGGTATGTCTGAAAAAACATACATTGCAGAGTGCATTTTACTAATTCTTCGAGGGTTCAGAAATTCTTTTCCTGATATAGAATATGAATGAATAGAAAAAGAAGTTAGATCAATATAAAACCTCGAAAAACAGATTTGTTAATTTTGCAATTATCAGATGCAGTGAAAATTTTAGATATTGAAGTTTCTGGACCACCATTTAATTATACTAAAAAACACACTATTGGGAATGCAAAGAAGCTTCTTTTGTTATCTGTTTGCAGTTTATGCAAAATACTTGCAAACAATTTTGATTGTTCGATTGAAGATGTAAAACAAGTTAGGACATATTGTATTCAATCAATTGGCAATAGGCTCACATTATTTGCTACTTCCCTCATTGACAAAAAGAAATATTTGGCTATCGAATTAGCCTCATATATAATATTGATGTTATCTCTTGCTATGCAAGAATCTTTAACTTTTTTGCATTAATCTGATACGAATTTGTTAAGCAAGAAAAAATACAAAAAAGGATCCATTCATTTATTCCTTCAGCTGATAATAATAACGAAGATTTACGAGAGTGAGTGCATCAACTCGATGATGATTTAACAATTGTAACCGAAGATGATATAGATGAACTTTTATTTTATGCTATAAAAAATAATTTTAGAATATATTCTGATTATTTTAAGTGTAAGATGGCTAGTTAGATTAAAAATAAATGTTATGTGCTTTTAATAAAAAAAGATGCTCCTTTTTCTAACATGTAAACAAAAACTTTTTAGGTCAGGTCAGTGTAGTGGTCTTAGTATAGAAAGTTCATTGTATTGTATTAATAAATCATTTCTTCAAGATACAACTTTTTTAGCATTAATATTCAGAAATACAGAGACACAATGTTGCTCCATCATTAGAAAAAGGTTTTAATTAACAAGTATCATTCCACCAAATTGTATTTGTACACAATTATTTAATCTGTATGTCAACCATTTCTGTGTTAATTTTTGACCTTTGTTATGTTATCCTGATTTAAATTTGAACCATATACACCAATAACAAAAGAGTATATGTTAATTAGATATTGAGATAAAATGATAGAGTATGAAATTAATAGGAATAAATGAAATAGGAATTGGGAAAACTAGTGGCAGTTTTTGAGATAAATTGTTTTAATGAACTGTATGGACAAAGTGAAGGGATAGTACCATACTTCTCGTAACAATAACTAGACCATCAGGATCCCTGCCAACATGGTCAACAAATTGTTTTTCATTTGGGGAAGTTATTTCTACCCATAAATACATTTTGGTCATTACCAAAGGTCAAACCAGTATCAACATTGACGTTTAAATTAAAGCTCTGCATTTATCAAATACTATATTTTTTTCTGGTATTGGTTGAGTTGAACTTTTCTCACGCAATAAGTACACTGGATTGGTAATTACAAGTTCTTCTTTAACTAAAACATGATCAGACAAGAAGGACTCTTATTAAATATGTTTCTTAAAACACAATCTTAGCGCTTATCTAGCCATATTTATTTATCAAATTTTCTTGTTTCACCTTTCAAGTGTTACAGATGAATGTATTAATTTTCTATATGAATATGGTTAAATTGTATTATAGGAAGCAAAAATGTCCAGGGCTAATTCATGGAATTCATAAAAGAACTAGAGATTAGATTGGTGTGTTGTACCATTAACTTTTTTTAAGAAATATCCATATGTCATAACATAAAAACGAGCATCAGGATGGTGTCAATAGTGATGCCTTTTAAAATCCTGTATGTTGATTGGTCATAAAGGTTAGAATCACAGTTTTAGGTGAACTTATGTTGTGCCAATGCCAAAGAATAAAGCCTAAACCTGCCAAAAGACAAAAATAGTAAAGCTCTGTCTAATGAGTGATGAAACTTCTGAAGAAGAAAAGGCTTTCAGCAAAGTTTAAATTCTCTAAGATTTTGGAAAAAACTGGTTAATGAAAATATTTGCATGTGTATTGTGAGACCGAAGTACCGTGACTGATCATGTAAAAAATGCACAAAATGCAGTATAATGTAATCTGCATAAAAAACAGTCTAAATTATTAATAATGAAAGATATTAAACATCGCTTTTTTTACTGATTCTTTTTACCAGGAACGAAGTGATGAAATCACGAAGTTGGTGGTTTATAAGTGGTATCCGTTCGCAAATCTTAAGTTTGATTGGTTCGCATTATATTTTTCACACATAAATTCATCATATATATAGATCAATGGATATGCATGTGCATTCGGATATGTAATCACAGAGCATAATTTGAATACAAAAAAATGAAAACGTAAGCGATGTCATAGTTGTAACAACTAATGATAGTAGAAAAGGAATTTTAGATGCAAAAATTGGTAACCCGGTGCAAATTAATTTATGTATTTATCTGATATTTGGCATTTTTTGTTTTTTTTTTGTAGGATTTTTCATTGGGTTGATTAAATGATAATTACTGATCATCAAAGGCAATTTATTATATGATGTCTTGTAAACTTTTGTTTGATTAGTTAATGTGCGTCGATTACCTATAAGTTTATCAAATGCTTTGTAATATATTAATGGAGTGTTAGGTTAATTCTCATTTATACATTACTTGGATTCATTTCCAGTTTCTAGCACAACTATGTTACACAACTACCTTATTTGAGTTATATGCTCTATGAGCACAAGGCAGAATTTAAATTCTTTATTATTTTTTTTACTCTATAATGTTGTTATTTTTTGAAGTTTTTTTTTAGAAAAAAATCTTTGGAATTTTATTTGAAAAAATTTTTGGATATTGATATAATCAGAGAAATGGAAAAATAAATATAGAATCCAAAGATAACTCAAATTGTAATGAGTAAAAATAAATATTTTTTAAAAAATTTATATAAAATATTATTTTAAAAAGTTAGATGGTTATAATTATTTTAGAATTTTAAAGTTATTGTATAAGAAACAAGAAATTATTATTGTATAGTTTTATATAAATTTTTAAATAAGAGGTATAGCAACTTAGTGAAATGAATAAGTTGTCAACTTTCCAAGTGATAAGTCAGATATTCAAATTCCATCAATGACAAAAATTTAGATAATTACTTATAGAATACTTATATTACAGCAACTGTTTCTAATAATTGGATTAAGATATCTGTAATGATGATCACATTAGCATAATTAGCAAGCTATAAAATATCTGTGTAACTGATTACACAGAGGAATGCAAATTGGCATTAGGTAATACAAACTCTAAATAAATTCTTGTAGCTATATAAATTTATTAAAATTAAAAAACAAGAAGTTTATTTGAGAAGATCTAAATAGAAAAGTAGTATAAATTTTTGATAGTACTACTATAAAGACTTTATCATTAAAAATAAATATTAATATTAAAGTATTCAAATAGACAAAAACTTTTAAATTGAGAATCTTAAAGATACCACCAATTAGGTTACTAGTATAAATCAAAAAAAGGATATTAGGCTAATCTAATCTATTAATGAACTGGTTGTAGTCTTATATAGACTATCTGAATTAGAAATTTAAAAAACAGACAGAGATATACTAAAATACTAGGAATATGCTATAAAATAGATGCTAAAGTTCAAGTGAACTCTATAAGAGTATAATGTTTAAAGATATAATTCTAACTACAAGTATTTGTTTTGCTATAGTAATACTAAATTAATTATAAAAATAAATACAGATTTATTTTAAAGATAAAATAGTCTTAAGATTAAGATAATGATCTAAATATGATCCAGTAATATTAATATAGATATAGGTTCAAAAAGTTTAAAATAAAACATTTAAGCAGTAATATTAAGTATAATAATTGATGAAAAATCTTTGACAAACTTTTTAAATAGATAATATAAAAAAGTTATATATATAGTCAAATATACACTTTTTCTATAATAATTCATAAGGGGTGTGGCAACCTAATAAAGTAATTAGGTTGTCAACTCCAAGTAACAGGTTTGAAGTTCAAATCTCATAGATGATAAATTTTGAAAAATAGGTCTATATTACAGTAACTGTCTCTGTTAATCAGTTGAATTAGTGTATCTGTAATCTTCAGTTACACTATCTTGAATGGAAGCTCAGGGCATCTATACAAAGTGTAACATTACACTATATAAAAGAATGTAATAACTGATGTTGCATAAAACTTCAGTGCAAACCCATGATAAGTCTACTAAACACAGAAAGTAAAAAAACCAAAAAGTCAGAAACACACTTGGAAATCCTGAGTAAAGAGATAGTATGAACTTTTGACAATATTACTGAACTATTAGAAGGTCTCAAAAAAGGATTACTAGGATAACTAGGATGGATTGGATAACAATATATATAGAGAAGCATATACCAACCAGGTTATCAGAAATCATTAGAGAAAAAGGATCTTAGAATACCATACTGAACCATTTGTTTGTAAAGTCTTGTAGGTCTTGTAGATCCAGAAATAGGAAATGAAAGTTAGAAAAGGAAGGTATTAGGGTCCTAGTGAACTTTACAAGAGTATAGCAGTTTAATGATTAGCTCTGACTGCAAGTGATGGTTTAGGTCAGAGCAGTACTAGGTTAGCTGTAAATATAGAATACAGAAGGCTTTAATAGGCTTAGTATAAAGTTAAACATGACTTAGTGATCATAGTATATTTGTAGAAATTCTGTAATTGATAGAGTAGAGATAGATATAAGAACTAAAGTGTTCAAATAGAAAACCCACAGGCAGGTTCTAGATATGACAACTAGTGTAGAACCTTTGAGTAGACTACTTAAAATAGATAATAACTAAAGTTGTACAAGTAGCTAGTTGTACACTCTTTCTATGATTGCCTTTGTAGCTATTGTACACAATAGTTATATACTGACTGATTATTAATAAACTCCTAAGTCGCAATTACTTACCTTAACATTAAAAAAAATATATATATATAATAGTTCATAAAAATCACATTATTATAGAGATGTGGTGACCTAGTAAAGTAGTTAGGTTGTCAACCTTTCAAGTGGTAGGTTGGGTGTTCAAATCCCATTGACAGTAAAAATTTGAATAATCACCTATATAATATTCATATTATAGCAACTGTTATTAATGATTGAGTTAGAATACCTGTAATGGCAGCATAACTAGCAGGTCATAGAGCATCTGTGTAAGTATAGCATTATACAGAGAAATGCAAACAGACTAATCAGGTGGTTCAAACACTAGATAAGTTCTTGTGGCTATATAAATCTGTTGAAATTAGGTAACAAGAAGTTCATTTGGGAAGACTTGAGTAGAGAGGTAGCTGGATCTTTGATGGCCTTACTGTAAAGTCTAGCCTAGAGAAATGAATACTAAAGTTATAGTATTTAGTTATAGTAGCTGGATAGACAAGAACCTCTGAGTTGGGAGTCTTGAAGATACTACCAACCAGGCTGCCATAATGAACTGAAAAAAAAAGATATCAGGCTGACCTGATATACTGATGAACTGGTTATAGTTCTACACAGGCTATCTAAATTGAAAGTTTGGTAAAAAGGCAAGTAAAAAGACAGAGGTATACTAAAGTACTGGAGTTAT